AAATATATGCTCAAGCCCGTGTTACACCGAGGTCCAATCATGGTTCCTGTCGATAAATTGGGGGAAATTCTATTCGGTGTAACGGGCCATTAGTCGAGGTTTTAATACATTTCAGTAAGCCATATATGCTTATTATTATTTCTTCAACCAATGGTTTCATAACAAGATTTTTGAAATCATTTTATCCATATAGAGTCTGTTTTAATAAACACACTCGCATAACAAAATCAGACGATAAAACGGAGCGCTTTGTCAAACCGGATTTCATTGTAAATACTAATACAGTCTAATGATAGTGAATTTTTTCTATAACGAATATCTGCTTATAACAGAAATTGTCTCCAAACCAATCATTAGATCTCTGTTATAGAAGGAGACTTTATTATGAAACAGTTCTAGATGCAAAGAATATATTTACAGTTCGTTTTGACCAGTATGTATGCATGTATTCAAACGCCTGCTTGTTAGCCTAATTATACGCAAACTCGCTATGTATGCAAATTTCTAGCATTGTCGCATTACAACTTTTACTAATGATCTTGCCTTATGACATCACCAGAGTATTGCATTTCTTTCGAACTTGGAAAATAGTCTTGATTGAATTAACCGCGACTAGCTAGAATTGTTTATAAAAGGCCGCCCGGTATGATTTGACGAGCTCTAATGTCTAAAGTCCAAAAACGTAGGTTCGAAAAATTCTCTAATTCGGACGCGAAGATCAAATGATATTAAAAAAATTCTTACCGTTGAAATAATATTGTCCACAATCAATTTTTCGAAATGTGATGCAATCGCTGTTTTGCTATCTAAAGGAATATGACCAAATTCTCGGCTTATTTAATAAGAATATACCGTCCGGCATTCTAGAAACCCAAATGTTTTATTTCCGATTGTTAAGGTGTCGACTTGTTTAATTGTAAAATATATCATAATAATTAACAAAATTACCAACAATTAGTTTTCAACTTCACCGAGCAGTAAGGTTATCGACTATTGAGTAAAATGGTTAAGCACGAATGTAAGAGAGCATATCGAAGGTTAAGTAAATCTATATTACCATTGGCCGCGTTAGCGATTACGATACGCGCATCAATTTTACCGTCTCCAGCGACGATGGCAGCAAATAGTTTTAACGTCAAATTGTGAGCAGGAAGAGACTTGCATTTCTTTTTGAAGAACATTTTTATTGTATTTAGTCTTCACTTAGCACACTGTAGGTCGTAGACTTAACTAAAGTCAAGCACTCACGTGAATGTATTAGCGTTACACGATACATATGATGCATCAACCATGCTTGTTCTTTGATTTACTACTTATGTGCAGACCGGACTTCCCACCTTTCCTAATTAAGGGTATGTCTAAAGCGGAGCAGATTCTTCGCAATTCCATTGGTCAAATTTGTATGGCAGCCAATAAAACTGCAAATACAGGATCACGTTCTGCTCCGCTTTAGCCTTTCCCCTAATTAATCCATTTGCTTACGCTATACCTAATGTGCAACCATGTAACAAGTTTTGCGTTGCAGATTACGTGACATGGTGCATTGAGACAACTTACAGTCTGCCGAATAAGATCTCGGTTATCGTAAAAGGCGTTATTGTCATGCTTTAGATTACTGAAAGCGTACCTACCTGTGATAACGGCAGGTCAAAGAACCACTTCAACTACTTGGCTATCATCCAGTCATCAGGGTATGGAAAGACAAGGGCAGGCTGTGAACTTGCGGCTGAATTCCCCTTTGTATATGTCTGTTTTCGCGAAAGTGGCTCAACTGGATACCCTCCGGCCATTCCGAAAGTATGGATATGCTAAGAAACATAAATGCAGCAAAGGACATAGATGAAGCTGAAGTTGAGGCATTGGGCTGGATTCGATCAATTGTCTTGACGTTTCATGAGAAAAAGAAGTATTTCGCAAAGAGCAACCGCAAGAGAAATATCAACAAGCGTTGCTGAAAGATGTAATTAATTGTTTTACTTGCCAGATATTAATACAAGCAAAAGCAATAAGAGAAGTTCAACACTTACATCTTACAAAAGAATAAATAATGAAGTTAGAATACCAAGCTAAAGAGGAGATAAATGACCTTGCAATTTTTTGCTCTTTTGAAATAGAAAAAAGTTCAAATGCTACTTACAAAATATTATCTTACAATACCAGCAATAATGATTATAGCAACATTGCTTATATCTGTGTTGTAATGATTGTAGTCGGGCTATGAGAAATAGAATAGTAATAGAATGCTTCTGTGATTTAAGGAAAGATGAGCCACCAGTTAAAACTCCAATCAGCATGCCCCAAATAAATAATAAAGCCAAAATATATTCGTAAATTTATGCTATTATTTGATTTTACCTATATTAATATCTAATTTGCGGCTACTGTAAAAATATTAGACTAACTTTTATACATACTGAATTTTAGTCTGATGGATTCATTAATATTATTAAGAAACTCTACAGAGGAGAGCACAATTTAAACTTGGTGTGTGTTATCAGGATAGTCCAACTACTAGTTTCAAGATTCTAATCGTAGACAGAATAATAACCCGCGTTAATATTAATTGGTGCATAACTTATGAAACGCAACCGTGACAAATCGAGTACAGCGAGATTAAGGCTCGGCGTTATGACAACGGAAACGTTATCAGTAATAGTCATAAGATTTTAACTCTGTGTTGAGAATGTTCCTTAAGAAATTGAGTGGTCTACAAACGTATCAGCATTTTTATTTGAAGCGCTCAACTTGGAGTTTTCAGGCGCAACTAGTTGCTAATGATGCTTATACTGAATTTAATTTGTTAAAAATTAGAAAAATAACCTTTCTGCTACCGAAGAACTTAAATCCCTCGTACGTATGTATTAACCTTCTCCTTTGGAGTGTAAAAGACAAGAATATACTGTATGATAATATTCGTCCATTTATTAGAAATAAATTCAAGTTCTTACTTGTCCAAGACCAACCCATATTTAAACCGAATAAATGTTTAGACTAAGAACCTTCTCTATTATTTCACACTCATTAAGTTTATATTTTCAGTGAATATATTGCCTCTTTTATTTTCAAAGCTTAAATATAAGCAAAAAAATTATATTTTTATAAAAAAATACAAGTATACTAAAAAAAATTATAGCAAACGTCATAACTGAACTTCAAGAGAGTAAAAAAACTTTAAAACTCTGAAATGCGGTTCTCTATGCTATGGATCAGAAATTGTTGGTATTTAAACAATGTTCTCGATCTGGAAATGATTGAGTAAATGTTCGAACGAAAGGAAATTGAAAGTTTGGTGATGAATTTACTCTTGGAAACCTTAAAAGTTTAGTGAATGACATGAAGTATTGAATTTCACCGATCTGGGTAAACGAGTCATATGATAACCTTTGGATGTATTAGTATTAGTACGTGTATATGCCGGGTTTAATAGTAATAATAAGAAGAACAATAAGCATTCTGCGCTTGGGAGTTGCCGAACGACCAGAAACATATCGTATTATGTATTTCATTTATTTAATTGGTTATTTCATTTGTATTGTCTTCATAACCACCACTAAATCCAACTACCTCTCTGAATTAAATATGATAAGGGAGGTAACTTATGAGAATTATTTCGGCTGTTTAGGCAAAGCTCGAGTTGGTAAGAGCGTACTAGAATATTTATTCGCTTTCTCGAGATGTGATACGGGAAAAGGGTTCGAGAAACGGCATTGCATAAATCGTTGCTTGCAAATTGCGAACATCTTCACAAAGTGCCTTTCCATTCTCTGGACGCTTATCAGGATCAGCATCACAACACCGCTCGGCAAGTTTCTTGTATTCCTCTGGTGCGGAATCAGGCATCAATGGTCGTAGTCCGTTACGGATGTCTCTCGCCAAATACTCATCAAACGTTCTATCTCTAAAAGGTGGTTCACCAGTAGCAATCAAATACATAATGATACCGAAAGAATACACATCTGATCTCTGAGTAAATTTGCGGGTATGGAAGACTTCCGGTGCAACAAAGGGCAAAATGCCTTGAATGTTTGGACTTGACTCGCGCGAATTCACTGATCGTGAAAGACCAAGACCGCAAATATATGTTTTTGTCTCATGCGTATAGTTGTGCAAAACTATGTTCTCGCCATGAAGATCACAATGCACTAATCCAATATCATGAATATTTCTCAAATGCCATGCAATATCCTGCAAACACAGTAGTTTATCCATCCACGTCAAATTGTTAATATTTTGGTTCAAATAAGACAAAAGACTACCATTGTTAGCATATTGCATAACAATCATGTACTCTTTTGTTTCTGGGTCTTGTGCCACTCCATAAATTTTAAGAAATGAATAATTTAAACACTTGACATAATTTCTGAACTATTAAACAAGAATAAAGTGTCAAATTAAATATCACTTTAATTAGTATTAGTAACATCAACAATTGCTTACCTCGGAAATAAATAATTCCGGCATTAAAGCAAAACTCGTAAACCGTTTGAGTGCAACAGTTCGTCCATTATATGTAGCAGCATAAACTGTTCCGTAACGCCCAGATCCGATCTCTTTGAATCCATAGAAGTCTCCATACCGTATGTACTTTATATGTTGATTATTTCGCAGAAACCTGTACAATAATGCACGTACATCGTAATAGAAAACTAAATAATATTTCCGAGTAGATGGCTCTCGAGTAGGTGGCTCCCGAGTAATCCCAAGTATCCAAACATTCTCTGGTGTTAATAGCTCTGGATATTGCTTAGTTAGCTATAGAGCAAACAAATACAGTCATTATGAGCACTGATCAAATTTAAATGCGCGATACTCATGTTGAATAATGTTATTGGTGAAATAATTTACCTGATGAAAATCAAATAACTGATCGTCCCATTTTTCAACTATCTTTTTGAGTGACACGCGTGTCACTTCATTCGTTGTCAAGTCTAACCAATCTGCTATATATGTACATCCATGACGTAATGATGTCATCTCTTGCATGCTAGTCAATCGAGTGTATTCAACCCATTGTATGTAGGCATCATTTTTATTCCTTGTATTACTCCATGATTCCATAATGAGTGAATCCAAAGATTTGTCGCCAGTCGTCCAGTCAACAGGTCGTGGTGCTTTACAGTGGAAGCAGAATAAATTAATTTTAGGTATTAATGGACATGTACACGCCAGACAAAGTTCTCTCCCGTGAAAGTCTTCTACTAGACAATACTGTCGTTCATATTCATTATATGTAAATCCAATGGTAACCCAAACGCCAGTGGTAAGAATATCTGGATGCTCATCACATAACTAGTGGAAATTATACATAATAATAAATCAATAGTTATTCAAATATTCAATAAACATGACGCATAAGGTAAGCAGTTTACCACGGCATAATACGAATCATCTGTCTCGTCTGTTAGTTCAAGCGGAGTCAATCTAACTCGTTCACAAACGGGTAGACCATAGACGTGTCGATGCTTAAAACTATCGTGTGGAATCCATTCCAAATAGGCGTCATCTGGCGAGTTTGTTTGTAATTGAGATTTCTTAATGAGGTCATCGAGTTGCTTATTGTTGCTAGTCCATCCATTAGATAATTGTTTATGACCACAAATGCACCACACGGGACTACATCGGAGTATTCCACACGTGGAGCAGAAGCCGTATCGAGAATAACAATGGTAAAACGGTTTATAAGCAACCATGTAATAGTTATTATTATCATTAGACTTGGCGAATCCCTTTATGAGTCTGTTGCGCTTCTCAAGCCATTTGTAATATCGTCTAAATTGACTCGTAACATTATTGTGCTTGTGCGTCGGAAGGGAGTATACTCTAGAAAACTCACTCACAAGTGTTGGTGTACAATCTTGGCTACTTCCAAGACATACCAGTACATCGCTAACAGAATAATAGACATTGTCAATTTGAGTTGATTTTATGCCGCTGATTTTCTCGAAATAGTAAGGAAGCCATTTCAGTCTTAAGTCTTCATTTTCACTTTCCAAGGAGGTTTCGACCAAGTAGTCGATTGCAGGAGTCTCTAATGGCATGCTAATAGTTTGAATCAAATAAATAGAATCAAAAAATTTTCCACATCGTCTCAACACTGTCGTGTTACATTACACATCGTAACTTTATGTCTGCCATCACTTCCAAGAGTAAGAACTTTTACAGTCTAAAGTAGTCTGCCATGAAAGATATAACTAACAATATAGTAAATTCAGTATACCTTTTTATTATTATTTGAAGGGTTCTATATGGGATTTAGCGGAAAGTGCCAACAAGAAAGGAACAATAAATCGATTAAATGGATTATTAAGATTATAAATTTACTTCCACGCACATCGATCAAAGAAAATGAAATAGGCAAATTGCTGGCGAACCATCAACTAAATTGAGTGTTACGCGGTGAGTGATAAAACAAAAATTCTCTCAGGCTTTTGAATTCAGTTATGAACTGGCTTATAAAATTTGTCGAAAAATACTCAGTTTACGCGGAACTCACGTTTATACTCGTACATGGTACAAATCAAATAAAAATATTAATATATGCTAGTATAATCAATACTGTAAATAAGAAACTGTTGTTTTTTATCTTGGCGCTTTCTCTCCAAAGTTGAGAATGACCTACAGTAAATATTTGATTGCTTTCGCCATACTTATAATTTGCAATTATTTCATAAACGTGACTCCTCAGATGAGCGTAGCAGAATTAAGAATTAATAAAAACAATATTCATATTAATATATGCTTTAATTCCTGTTCAAGCTTCTGATGTGGCGAAAGAAAAAACTTGCTCGTCATGTTAAAGAAATAAAAAAGTTTGACTCAGACAAAATAAATTAAGTTGGTACATAAGGCGCATCCACTGAAATAACTAAATTCTCACGTCTCAAACATTTTGGAAAAACTGCGTAAATTGGACGCTAATTTAGAGGCGACATACGTAACTGATATAATTTATAAATTAAAATGAGCACAACAGACAAATAATTTAATTATGCTGACCTTTTTAGAGCAGTTAAAAAAATGCAAATGCGATATTATATTGAGCTAAATTCCTAACAAACTATAACTAAAGCCGAGCGGGTCGTGAATGGTGTAGACCGGACAAATTACCTATACTCTGACTTATGGTAGTACCTGCCACTATCACGCGCTTAATGCTGGAAGATTTACTATTACCTAATCGTATTAGTATGGTTTTTTATTTTGACGTCAATTGCGACGGTGAGTTGACAATGGTGTTCCTTTTCGCGAAAAATTTACTTTGATCTCGAATTTTAATTGGACGATACATTGCACATGATAAATAAAACTGGGGTGTTATACTGCGACTTGGTTTGATTGGATTAATGCATACACTACCTCAGCCAATAGTGTTAGTACCCAGAATATATAAACTCCCACATATTCATCATTCGTAACGAAAAGTTAGAAATGCAGGCAAGAGACTCACATTCTATATTTAACTGCCAAAGATGTAAACAACCGCTAAGGATAGACGACTCTTTAAACGACTTAAACAATGCGAACGTGGATCTCTTAATGTGTGAGTAAGAAGAAGCTTAACAATCTTCAGAATGTCACCAAATTCGGACACCTCTTTGCTTACATTTTTCTATTCTGCCTCGATCTCTTAAGCCACACTACCCGAAGACACTTCTCATTACCGCGATTCTCGTATTCCTCACTTTTCTGAGCATCCTTCGTCGATATCTCATAAGACATCGAAATCACATTCTTCGCGCTCGGCACAGCAGTTTCCAAACAAAGAATCCTATCTCGGCCCATCTGAATCATACGTTGTACTTTCTCGCTCACAGATAGCTCCCCTTCCTCAATCTTCTCTTTCTCTATCCTCATCTGATGCAACCTCAACAGATCAACGCACTTCGTTATCGTATAGATTGAAAGTAACATCTCGACTACTCGATGTAATGTCGCAAAGATCAGAAATCACACATCCTATCTGTGTAGAGTGTACAGAAATGCTGTTAGATTCGCTGAGCAAGCAGTTAGCTGACGCGACAAGGGAGAAAGACTGTTATGTTGATTTTTTAAAGAAGGTTAATTCAAGTTTGATAAGCGATGAGGAAGGAGAAAACTTGAAGAAAGAAATCAAAGAGGTTTGTTTTATTCATTTATAGTTTGTATGATATTAATTTCTAGTTTATTCGTTCATTACGTTTTAGGCGAATTGTATTTTGCTAAGTAAACGAACGCATTTTATATTAGATCAAAGTAAGGGAGACGGCCGCCATTGAAACGCTAACAAATATCGAGCGCGAGCGGGATATGTTGAAAAAGGAGTTGGAGGCCCTAGAAGCAGAGGCACATGAACTCGATAAAATGGAGGAGAGGTATATGAGTGATATTGACGCGAATGGTTCTTCGCTGTAGTCGCTCATCGTTATTTCTCGAACGCATTTATTGCCTACAATTTTATAGTTACTGGCAAGAGTTTAATGACTTTCACATTCAGCTGAGCGCGTTCCAGAATGAACGTGACAGCGTGAACCTCAAATATGATCATGATACGAGACAGCTTGAGAAGCTTCAGAAGACCAACGTTTATAATGACACCTTTTACATTGTAAATGAAGGACATTTTGGAACGATAAATGGTTTTCGGTTGGGATATCTGCCGACGCAAAGGGTGAGTTTAGGAAATAGTAGATATTATACGGGGATGTGATAGCAGAGAGGGCAGAAAAATTTGCTACTTTTGGAATTTTTAATCTTAATAAACCTATTGAATTTCTTTTGATCGCTTTGGATAGGTGGAGTGGAATGAGATCAATGCAGCATGGGGTCAAACAGTGTTATTACTCTCTACGATTGCGAATAAGCTCAATTTTACTTTTAAGACGTATGTCATTCTTTTCCATTTGAGCATTTCGTGTATAAAAACATTTATTAGACGGCACATGTCAACTCATTTGTTCGTTTCTTTGTTTTGCAGGTATCGTCTCATACCACTAGGTTCTTTCTCCAAAATAGAGAAAATAGAAGGCGATAGGGCTGTCTATGAACTGTAAGTGTAAAATTCTATAGCAGGATTGAAATTTCATGTGCATCGGTATTAATTATTGATGTTATTAAATTAGGTACGGTTCAGGAGACTATGCTATAAGTAGAGTATTTCAAAACAGTCGTTTTGATACGGCTATGGTTGCATTTCTCAACTGTTTGCAGCAATTGGGTGAATACGCCGAGAAACAAGATCGTAACATCAAGTTGCCTTACCGGTAAGTTTATGTGAAATGATATTGGCTCAGGATAAAGATTTTAGGGTCGCATATTTATTACAGGAGAAAGTATCTCATTTGAGTTTTGCTTTTGCTAGAATAAACAAAGACAAGATAGGAGATGTATCCATAAAGCGGCATATTGGTCACGATGAGCAATGGACGCGTGCTCTCAAATATACTTTACATGATACGAAGTGGATATTGGCATTTGCTGCTTCAGTTAGTCATACGAACTACAAGAGACGACTGGAATAGAGAATCCGGCAACATGTATTCTGCATGAACTATTTATTAAACATTTAGACATATTATATCAATATAATCAATAATGATACTATCGTCAGGGGGTATGCCAATAGTTAATATTAAGGTAAAGTAATCAGATTCTGTTTTGTAAATGTGCAAGTTCCCAAAATAAAGCATCGCTCGCAAATCCTTAATGCTATTAGTAGACTGTCGATATAGTAATATGGTCAGAGAAAACATAAACAGTGTATTGTATCGTGGCTACAGTGTTTTATTCATAAGAATTGAACCATAAGAGGAAGCGAAAGGAATTAAAAAAGGATCATTCAACGTCTCGTTCTGTATTCTCATGTTGTAACTGTTTCCTTAATAAATGTGATATCACTATGACCCTAATATGTGTAGTGACTTTCATATGCCTTAACAGCTTGAAGATAGCGCTGGTCATAACATAACCTTCAATATAACGTTTACATAATAGCATTTGAACTATTCAATCTATCCTCCCAATGCTTAATCATGTCGTTCTTTGTATATATTGAATGATATCATCATCTGTGGCATCTGTTCTTTAAAACTTGACCAAGTGAAGGGGTTCACGGCTATACGGTTTGAATGATTAGTGAATGAGGAAAGGCTTACTTGTGTCCAGCGCAGTTTCAAATGAAAAAGCAAAGACTTTACAATGTAACGATTAACGAATCGAATCGTATCCCGATGAAGGTGATATTATTTTAACTTTTTTGCCACAATAGCCTCTCATTTTGTCATTATATTAACTACGTTATTGACGGGATTGACTTCGTATCAATAGAGTCTATTTAAGTAAGAATATTCCCACTGCCGCTCATACGCGTCCATATGCTGTATTCTCCAAACCTCGACATTTTAGCGAGAACTCATTAACCAAATCCTTGTATCTGCGTATATTACGCGTCCTAAAAAAACCCCCAAATGTACCGTTCAGCCTTTTAGATAATCTCAATTTGTATAAACATAACAAGCAGGCTTACCCAAGAATACTTTTTGCAAACAAATCTTTTGCGTCCTGCTTGACATTGGGCGAAGGGAAGTTGTCCTGTTTGGAATGGCGAGAGATTAATGATCAATTCGTTACCGAGAATTTCGTAAAAATTTGCCTATTACCTGAGAAAGTAACACTCTCAACCAATTACTACTAGCCTCAACATGTCGACTAGTCATTTTATAGAGCACATCTGCCACCGATGGTACATAAGACCTTGGCGTCTTCCCACCTATTCCCTGGGAAATGACAATTTTTTACTCGATATTTATATTGATATATTCACAGTATCCGTTTCGAACTTACTGCTAATAATTCCGTCATTATCTCCAATCCATAAGTCATGATTACTTTTTCACTTGCTGCATTTAATTGATCATCATGGTAACTTTGACCTAGGAATTCTTTCTGCATTTAAACTATAATTAGTGAGAAGGTAGAGTATGAATAGACGACTCTTTGTGAAAACGATTTACCATAAAGTTAATAGCCGCTTTCAACGCCAATCGCTCATTGGTGCGAAGACTAGCTATAGAGAACATGATTATGCTCTTGAACATATCCGACGGAATAGAGTAAAATGATACCGGACACTTCATTATGAACTGAATGTAAAAAACTTTAGATTGATACCTAAGAAGACTTTTTCGAAACACCGAAAATTAACAACCTAGAAACCGTATATACCTTTGAAAGTAGCTCAAAATACGAATTAACCACATCTGGACAATCCTCTATGTCTACAGAATAGAAACCGAGATCCACATAATTACTCACCACCCAGTGCAGCTCATGTGCACATCAATTATTGGATTATTCTTACCATTCTGATTAATAACTATCAGAGTGCTGACAGTAAACGTTTCAAGTATATCTTCGAACACACCTTTATATTCATTCCTCGACCCATAGACTGTCAATAGTTGTGCAGCAGTGTCCATCAAACATGGGTGTTGTTGTCGAGAATAAAAGTTTTGGATTAAATGAACGATGAAGTCAAGTGGAAGTGAAAGAAGGTGGGGTGGATACCGTATTCCGGCATTTATAAATTTACAAACTGACTTTGGAGGGTGAGGAGAGGGGGGGGTTACGTGAACATTAAATATCAGTTATGTTGACATAATCATATGTATTCTGAGCATATTTTTATCATAACGCATCTGTTTCCTGTATCTCGCGTTACATAACTGTAGCTGATTGCAATCTTAATAGTAGTTACCTCCATAACGTCCTGATCTTGATACCAAATGTTAGCAATCCTTCCAACAATGTCGGTTATGGTAGATGTGAAGGATGTAACAGTCGTTGATGCGAACACAGCCTGTATTCGTAAATTGTCCTTGTCAGCATCCACAAGAATTGGTTCGTCGTCTCTAGCTTGTATACCCCGTGCACATGACGTGAGATAACCGAGTTGAATCATTATGGAGTCTCGGAATATAGATGGTTCCTGTATTAGCATCAAACAAGGTAAACTGACGGATGAATTCCTGAATCAAAGTAGCAGGCATTTGAATAGATAAATGAACAGCTTTTCTAGAGTGGTACATACCTGTACACTGTGTGAGATGAATTCTTTGCTCTTTTCTATGATATGCCCTGTTAATACCTATAAGTTTTACTCTTCCCTTGAGCATACGCGAGATTAGCGTGACAACATTTTCAACTCGTCAACTTACCAAGATAGGTTTCACCATCTTCTCCAGTGGCAAATTCTGTAAGACGTCCGCTATTGATTCAATAATCTTTTGTCTTTGTAATGGCTATGATCCAGGTGCCATTTGAGTATTTTATGCTGGCGGACTAAAATGCACACGTGAATGATGTCTTTAACGTTTTACCTGAACATGAGATCCAAGCGATAAATACGCGTTTACCATGTTTTCTACTACATTTACTAAGTGATTACGACATAGCTCGCAGACATCTTTGAATGCCGTGGCGGCACTGAATGAGAGTCCAGGTTCATTTAAACTAGCCATGATGTAATTAATAGCTGGAAGCAGGAAATCTGGGTTTTCGTTCAACCACTCAGCGTAGGATCCTACAATGACATTCAAAACGATTAGATGATCCTATGAATGTGTTGCGAGCAACAAATTTCATAAATTTCGACGTCCGCCATAATATTATACCGATTAATACTAAAGCAGTATTTCTCAATCTTGTCTGCCCATGCGATGGTAACCTTCCATATATTTCAGCGCCAAAGAGCCTTGGTAGATAAGTATTTTCTGAGCTACTCATTGACTCTGAAATAGCTTTAATACAATACAGCGTTGATTCTGCGTCCTACAGTATAATTGAAGCAAAGATGAATCAAAAAATATAAACTGACAAAGTGTACGTAATATAATAATACCTCGTAATGAATGTCATTGCTGTTGGGAGTGTTTAATTGCTTTGCGATAAGATCTATAAGGTAAGCAAGAAGCTCTTCGTGCAGAATGACATATGCACTCAAGATAATGTCTCCAATGTCTCGGCGATATGATCTGAACTTCTGCTTTGTCTCTAATAAATTAGAGTTACGTTATTATTTTCAAACAAAAAAATATCAAGAAACAAAAGTCTGTCTATACTACAACTTACCTTCATGCCATTCATTCCATTCATCTTCTGGTGGCAGTTGCAGTTTTACTCTCAATATTTCAATTAATCTTTTAAACAGTATAATTGCTGCGTCTCTAATATGCCGGGCCTCTTCAGCCGATTGTTGAGAGGATAATGCAGCGTTACCAAACTCAAGAACGTTATTATCGTTGTCCTCCGGTGAATTGGATTGAATAGGTATCACGTATGGATCATAAATAGCCTCTTGGAGAGGGACCCAGAATTGGAGTGTCATTTCGCCAATGTGTTAACAGATTCAGTGTTGAGGACTTTTTTTTTTTACAAGATTCCGTTAGACTAATACATTTCCTGAAGACAAAAAAAGCAAAAGGATATCTCCTGATCTTGAGCATAATAACCGGGAAAGCCAGTGAATGTAAGCATCATTTCCAAATATATCATGATGTCTGGGCGAATAAAGTGTTTGGCAATGTAATTGGTAAAAGTATCACCGAACACCGTCATGAGACGGCATAGATTCTTTACCGCGTGTTCATCGGATTCTACGGTAGACAAAAGTACCAGTTACTAAGCCATTATCTTGTCAAAACTTTCAAGTACAAAGCAAGAATGCTCACCGTTAAAGGCTTTTGCAATTCTTGATTTTGTCCATTCACTGGCAAAACATCTCATTATTAAATCACAAACAGTGTCTTGAATTGAGGTTACTGACGGCTGGTCTAAGAACTGAATTAACACTTCCGTCGCTGATTCGTGTGTCTCTTCACAAGGAAATAATTCGATAACGTGATTTATCAATGGCAGGAGCGATCTAAAGATCAGATAAGACGTTTGTCAACAAAAATAAATCCACTATCAAACCATGCAGGCTGAATTTGGAACTCACTCAAATGGCACGTTGTACGCTATCCAGCTTTCCAAACACCTAAGGCTTTTTTGTTTTAACAGAATGCCTCGCTGCGACTGATCATTTTGGGCCAGAAATGATTGCAACGTCGACATTACCAATGGAATTGCGTCTTTTAATTCCTTATGCACACTTATCCTGAATAAACATGCCCATGTAAATATATTTCCGTACACTTACACATACACATCTCTTACAATTACCTCTGCTTGTCAACAAAATCAGTGGTCGAAACTTCTTCCGGCAACACAGTCAAATATTCTAACAACGGCAACTCTACGGCTAGATCTTGTCTCCCGAGTGCCATTGCCCCTGACTGAAGATATTGAAACAGCTCCGCTATACAATTGGTCCATACATTTGGTATGGCGTTGATTGTATATGCTGCAAGCTAGGAAAGCAAAATGTTATTAAAGAAACTTTTCACAAACCCGTTAAACATAAATTACGTAAATTGATAAAAAAATATATGTATTACCGCAGTTGATAATTTTGTTGTGACTACCGATGGGCCGTTGGAGAAGTGAATCAGCCAGCGAAACAGTTCGTCACGGAGCCAGATTTTGCGATCATCTGGCAATGACTTCCTAGGAAAACATTTGGCCAATGAACACCCGTTTGGGAAGTTATTTTATGGAAAAGAATGGATCGGACACATACCAGTCTCTAGCGATCTTGACCTGAAATGTGTGAGCACCGAAGAATTGAGAGTTTACAGCCTGATAGATATTGGATGTGATGAGCATTAGCAGTAGTCATCATTGCCAATAGTCCATCTACTTATGTTGAGCTAATTACATGCCTCTGAGCGAAGTAATTGGGGAGCTAAGTCCCATGCATACGGTTGTTTTTGAAGATTATGTAAATACTCTTGAGCTTCCCTGTGGTTTCCGTTACCATAAAGTTGTTGTATTGCCTATGTCATGTATAAATTTATACAAAAAATGAGAGAAATTGCATATCCTAAATGCATTTCCCGTGAATAACTTACCTGTTCCACGTATTCGACAGGAGGAATTTGATCAATCTCCATATTTCGATTAAGGAATAAGTTGTTTTCTTAATATTAAAGGAGATGAATATTATCAAAATAAATTAACCGCCACAATAGTGACCATATGTAGTAACCACTACCGTGGCTTGATGGGCGTGAGGCGCCAATGCAAGCGAGGATCATTGTATGATTAGGTCTTGGATAGAAAGCGATCAAGTTTTTTAATTGGTTTTTTGTAACATAGATAAACTTTACATATCTGAATTAATAAGGAAAGAATGTATCAGACAGCTGTACATTATTTGTTCTTTATAGTAATTATTTCAGTGTACCACACGGACCTTTATAATTCAATTCTCAAACTCACAATAACCATTTTTTATGAAAGATTCCAATTTGCTCTACCCTGTACATATGTCAGAATTCCCAAAGCCACAGTCGTAAATTCAATCTCTAGTATAAGAAGCATGGTCACGTCTTGTATCTCGGATACAAACTATGCGGCAAAATTTTTAAGAATGTACGCCGAATACCAGCAGCGTTGACCCTTATGTCTTTGTCCTGCGTATGTAAAATTATCAGACAATGCGCCTATTGTGATTCGGGCTGTATTTCGCGAAATATATCGAATGCGCTTTTTTCTAAGAAATGCCCTTTCATGTGATCACGATATCTCATGTCAGAGGAAACTTTTGGATAAAGCAAGACTCAGCGATAAATGAAAGATTATGTGACAATTTCAAAGGAGACAAAAAGGATGCTAACAATTATGGCACACTGCTTTATGCATCCAATTTCCTAACCACGCCAGCATTCCGAAACGGAACGCGTCATGACTGGTCCATCGATGCCTCAGTGGTCTAACACATCCCAAAGTTTTCACTTCGACCATTAGTATAATTACAAGTTAATATTGTACTTGATGCTCTATGTCTGAACTGAGGGTATAGTAGTTAAATAAGATAGATTTGATTTTTAAATTTATTTATCTGCAACTACTGCGTTGATATTACAAAAATTCAGCCGCAGTGATCAGTTATGTCGAAATATTATTAACCGCTCTCCAATGTTCTAGTTCTCGCTGGGTAATAGGAAACCCTTTCTCAGCTCTAATTAACTCTTCACTTTTCAAAGAACCATTTATTAGGCGAATTATATACTGATACGGATTCACTTTCTCGATGCTTTCACTAGTTTCACTTTGTATCGGAATGTTCTCCCCCGTAGTCAAACTATATTTCTCTAATAATTGAAACAAATTTATTGTTTACGGGTTAACTTCGTCAAGACTTTGTTGAATGATCAAGGATAATCTGGGACAAATCTTACCTTCACCGCTTTCAAGAATCCTCAATTTCAATTCGCTAGTCGCAGTCCAGACGACAGAATGGAAAGCCGACGGCCTGTCGTACTCAATATCAATAGTACCACATTCGTCAACTTGGACAGTCTGAACCTGGGTATTAAGCTATGACAGAAATAAACGAGTGTATATTAACGGCTCAATTAACCACTTTGATGCGTAAATAGTCAAACATCAGCAAAGTGATATACGCAACGGGGCATTACCTTAAAAGATACATTGGAAGACTTCCAAATGTCGATAGTCGAAGTGATAATTTTGTCATTGGCGACTATAATGAGATTTTTGCAGTTCTCTGGAAATTTGCTAATCACGATTAAAGAATGTCTAATAAAAGCGAGTTCTCGCTGAGCGAACTGAAAACTATCCGAACCATGAGCCGCATTAGCCTCAATACTTTCACCAGAAATTTTCTTTATTGTAAGCAACTCACCAATCATGACCTTGGTACAAACGCTATCGAGAAAGTATTCTCCATTTTCACAATTTCTCAAATACACAGTGGACGAGGCGGGAATTGTAGAGGCGTCTAAATGTTTAACTTGGGCCTGCTCGTCTACCTACAATACGATTATGTTCTTAGCTTTCATTCAGATTAAAGACGAATTTCAACTACTGATCGAATCACCCAATCCCCGTACAATGAATTTCCTTTCTGACAATAGACGTCCAATCAAAATGGGAGTCGCTGATGGCATTTCGTCCGGAACCGTTTTATTTACTTGAGACTCGGTTTGCTGAGGGCTCATTTTGGAGTAAACTCATACAGGCTCTTTTAAACATTGTATTTAAGCTTTTCATTAATTACTGCGGGAGTGACTAAGAGCCTTGGCGGATTGGCTAGGTGGAAGGACGCAGCACAGGCATGAAGTAACTGGTAAACTATAATTAGATAAATCTTGGTGGCTTGGCAAACTTAAGAATGCGCCGCAAATGATATAATGATGGATGCTCTCTACCAAAGTTTGTAACCCCAAACATTAATATATTCAATACCAGTAAAGCTAGAGCGCGTAGATATGCGTTTCAATCCTTCAGAGGCTTGTTAGTTCACTTTCACAATCACGTTAGCATATATTCACCAAATTTGCCGAGACGTTGTATTTATTAATACTTTCTATTTCACACAAGAATTGTTGTTTTGTTGGCACTAAGTTGATACACACTATTTAGATTTACTAATAAGGCAAAGACGGAAGCAGTGCAGCCAATAATGATACTAATACTTCATTTATTTTACTCGCATGATATAACTTATTAAGAGTCGTTATCCAAAAAATTCTATTTTGCATCCTTATTAAAGATATTTTTCCCAGCATCGCCATCAAAAATTTACGTCCACGTGATTATTTATATATGTAAGATTTGAGTTTAACATAAATTTAGTATAAATTAAATTTTGTTTCTATACCACTGCAGTCATGTGTCCGTAAACTTTTTGATGGTGATCTGGGGTAGTTTATTAAAGATGGGAATGACGGCTCGCTATTATAAATGTGTCCTGTTTCAAAGCTACAGTATCTAATTGTTTGTTAATCTAAAATTCGTATACGGTAAACAATATATTTCCTGCAAATAATAAGTCATGATGAAAATCGAAATTCTTGGGTTAAGCAAAGTAATCGCGGTATTCACAATTCCATGCACAATTGGCCAAAGTGCTTGTAGAAATACAATTCTACGTGCTGGCAAATAGGTTGAATACGGTGGTAAACTCAAGAGAATCACTGATTAACTCCGTTTGCAAATCGTCCACGTATACAACAAGTGACTCATACCCGTCCATGTATCTTGACAATCTTACGAGAAATACTGTAGTAACACAAGATTATCAAATAAGTCATTTCTTGCATGCCAGATAACTTGTCGCAGTCCTATGTCGAGCAAATCTGATTCGCCGTCGGACTTATGCATGTAGGTAGTGTGGAAGTTGAGAATTGTCTTTTTAAGCCCTTGCATTTCCCACTAAAATTCAGTTTTTACTTTAGCGCATCGGAAGAGTCTTCGGAAGACGAACTCTTGCCATTTACCCAAGAGGATTATGAAGAGTATAGCGTGTACGAACCTGTGCGAGCGTTTACGCATTGGTACAATAGAAACAAGGGGTTTGAAGATAAGAGTTCAAAGGATAATAATGTCGTCGGAACTCTACTGAAACAACTTGAAGAAAAACGACTCGAACTCGAAACAAAGCAAAAACAATCCAAACCACCTCCGGAGCCAATCGGCCCTTCTCACGCATCCGAGCCTTCAATTAAACCATCTTCTGTTTGCCAACAACTCACAATTCCATCTTCTTCCTTGTCCCGCGAAGAACATCTGAAATTTCTTCAATTAAACACAATTGCCGCCTCAAATGTCGGTTTTCACGAATCATTTAAGATAGACGTAGCGCAAGGTCTAATACTTATTTCTGTTATCTAGCCTCAGCTGCTCGGTGATAACGATCGAAAAAATTTTCATTATTTGCGGGAGCGAGTGCAGGAAGAAAAAAATGCATATATGAAGTGGTTATATGATAGAGCAAAAGAACGATTCCAACATTTAGATAAGAAAGTGGATGAGGCCGTTGAGGTTGGTTTCATTGATCTGATGCGGTAGGTATTTATCGAAATGATAATTTCCCCATCCCTTTACTAGGGCTATCTGACCATTGAGCGAGAACGTATTATCAAGGATTATCCGGTAGGAATTGTTTAATTAATATTAAAATTACGTATTTATTCGTCTAATATACAACTTTATATTCTATACAGCGATATTATGAGTTTCTTAATGCTTTCGACCTTACAGTTGGATTGCCTGATGCGCGAGATCCAATTTTGGTTCATAAGCAGACGCTTCATGAAGCTGTAAGATAATTACCATTCTTTGGGTTTGCTGTCGAAAACATATCTGATTTGCCTAATACTTGGGAATTAGGGAGCGTGTTTCCAATTTACTTTGCCAATGGGAACAGCTTCAAAAAAGATTCCTACGCATGAAAATTATTTGCTGTCAGATAATACGGAGACTATCAATTCTGAGCTCGTCTCAGACAACCAAACAGAATCCAATACTCAAACGAATAGTAAAATACATGATGATAAAACACCAGGAAATCGATGGCAAAAATATGTGAGTAATGGCTATGTTCAACCGCTCTATCAACAGATCTGACTGTTCCATCCTTTCAGATCATGCCTGTGGTCAGTACAGATCCATTAATTCCAGCTATGGTGGAACAAAACTCTGTTGATATCGTGATCTCGTCGAGTGGATTGTGCGCTCTTGTTGCTCTGCATGCATCAACTGAGAGAGATTGCAACATTCCCATATGCGTCATTTCGCGTCGAAATGGTAAACCAGTTGAGCAATCACACTGAGAAATATCTTCAAACATTTTACTGACTCATTTAATTCAGCTTCTGGTGAAATGAAAAAGACGGTGTATATCGACAAGCCATTTGTGAAGAAAAAGATGACGAACCGCGAACGTAATCAAATATTTTATGATGCTGCTTTCAAGAGTGTGGCTATGGATACAAAGCATACATTTGAAAAGAAAAAAGAATCGAAGTCTAGCTTTTTGACGGAGGACCAAGAATTTAACGGTACAATTGAGTTCCAAACTGTGATATCAAATAAGGACGACCGCAATAATTAATGAATATTTGTATAATTAGACAATGAAAGCACACTCGTTATTTTTAATGAGGAATTACAAGAACAAACGCCGTCTAATCAATCGACTAAGAGCACTTTCAGCGAGGCAGCTAACAACAACAAACCTTCTGAACGTGACGAGACCCTGAAAGATGATAACATGCACGATATTGTCGACACTAGGATAGACTCTGAGTCAAAGAACGGTCAAACTACATTGGAGAAGGGACTACGGCACGTCAATATTACTTATAACTTGTGGTGTTTTGGCGAGTTTAGCATACTGATTAGATGCAAAATGCATGGATTTGTATTTGATTCCATCAACAAGGTAATAACTTGCCCGCTTTTGATTATATCCATTGAATTCGGAATTCTAGTCACTAATTTACCTTTTAATCGTAAATCAATCGAAGCCTCGGATTGTTGGGATAAAGACAAATCTTGAGTATCAGCTTGATTTAGGCATGGAGGAAATTGCTGCTGCTGATAGAGCTCGATACTGGATCCACACTTACATTCGCGGGGATGCTGATTTGATGCTTGGACGAATAGACGTGCTCAATAGTGAAATACAGGCAGTCGAAAGAAAAAAAATGATCAATATTATACCAAATGGAAATTGGTAAGTATGAAAATTTTACACACACGTGAGAATGGTGACCATTCATGTTAACGATTCTTTCTAGGCCTCGACCACATAGCAAATTTCTATATACTATGCTAAAAAATTTTCAGAGGTTTGAGTTGTTTTCTTCGTAGTTGTTAAGGTTTATGGACAGAATAGTTCAATGAGTTAACCCGATACGACCTTCAGTCTTCCCGATGGAAACTATTTGTTTTCTCATGTAGCAGGCGATTTACATGCAAGTGTATACAAAAGCATAATCAAAGACAACAAAGAATTCCCAGATACAACAGTTTCAACTAGCCAATCGCGCATTTATGATCTCCACGCGGCCTATTCAGTTTTAGCGATTCACGACATTGAAACTGTACATTTTGTTCCATTGAAATGGAACGGCCCCTCAGATCAGATACCATTCACATTTCCTGTCCGCCAGAAACCATACTATTGCTATCAGTACGCTAATTATGGTTTTTGCACGCGGGAACAGGTATACTGGACTCCAACTTGTTACATTTTTTGCTCGCTCTTTATTACATGTCCTCATGTCGTACTTGCATTTTGATAGTGCACGTTCCAACATATTCCGAAAAATGAAATAAATGATCCACAGATTTTGAAGAGGGTAAACACACACAAGTTGTCTGACGACACAAGTGGATTGCCTGGTAAAATTCAGAAAACTGAAAAACCAACGAAAAATCAGAAACGGAAGAAGGCAAAATCGAAGAAAAAACAGAAGGAACAGTCAAATGCATCTATACCTCAAGATTTAATGACTGCCGCTGCCGCCGCTACAGGACATCAAGCTAACGAATTTGTTCATTTGGATGATCCAACTGTCATCGAGAATTCGTCACAGTCAGCCTTTGAATATGATCGGTTAATGAAAGAATATCTAGAAAAGAAGAAGATACAAAAATAGTCGCGAATTCATTCATGGTTATGAAAGAATTTTTAACGTCAGTGTAAACTAAATCAAACGACATGTTTATTTAATATATAATAAAGTTCCGTAATGCAGGCCACGGTCGAACCCTTTAAATGCATCTCTAAATGTATGGTCCACTTACCGTGCGTCACGAAAAATTGGTGCAAGAGCAAGGAATAAGCTTTGATGGCTGGTGCTATTACCATAAATTTTTATGCAAATACTTTTTATAATTAATTTAGTCTTCATTTGATCGATTTAAGCAAACAGATTAAACGTTTTATCAGAAGTCGAATTTCATTCTTCGACTACACCGTCGTAAACTTTCTATAAAGTTAAGACTGGTTTTGCATTATATATTCAAACTTGGCTGAGATATTATCTCATATATTTGTAATCGAATCTGCCAGCGGTTGCATTTATTCACTAAGCCCCATGCTTGGAAGTTGCATTTATATGGTGATTGCGCTTATGGAGGTGTCACGCATTAGGTTTTTGGAATGAAGTACCTGATGACAACACATTTATAAAAACCATCAGACATTCATATTGATGATAGTGAAAAATGTACCGCCAATGCCAATGATGCTGTAAAGATGTTAGAATTAGAAGATTCTAAGGAGTTACTTAAGCATGTTAATGCTCTTGATTCTTCCATTGGTTTAAAGTTGATGGATGTGAAGAAACAAGCAATCATAGACAATCTTTTTTAATCAATAATAGAAACGGGTATTTTAATTTGTCTTTCATTTATCGTTATTATTAGAAATAAATAAAATATGCGTGGGGAAGCTGAAAGTTTTGCGCGTAGACCTTTATTTCCAGATCATTATCGATTCGATTATTTAATTGTACTCTCCATTAATGTCCATGTAACATTGCAGACGATTCTGCCAACTCTGTAAAGACTTCTCATAGTCGGCTTTTTGGGGTGTTTCAGCAACTGCCTGAACATTCCTTGCCAAAATCTCAAACCTTATCAAATCTTTTTCACGTCAATTGTTTTCCTATTCGAGGGAATAATTATAACGCCAATTCAATTTCGTAGGCAATTTTATTATTTTTAATAACAAAATGCGATTTCTATTAAGAATATAAATAATACAAAAACACCAGATTGATTCATGGGAGAAAAATACTGGAACCAAAGCCATTAATGAGTATAACCTATTCTTTAGTCACTATGGTGCCAATTTAAATTTCATTATCTTCTTTACTGTTGCTGCTATTAATAATATTCTCACTGTCATTTACTTCTTTATTATCAATTTATTCTTTGATAGTATTGAATGTACTCTTCCTCGGATTCTAAAGGATTTTCAATGTGGAAGCTGCAACGCCTTTTTCTTCGCGTAACTCGCGGATTTTAGTGGCCATTTGATAAGTGCGGGTTCATCCCAGTCTTTTTGTTTTAACGTTCTTCCACAGTTTTCGACGCTGGCAAGTAACTTTGTTCGCCGAATAGCTTGCTTGATTTATTATTATGCCTTTGTAAGCGCAATGAAATTGATTTTTTTTTATTTATGTCGCAAGGTTTATTTGTCTGGAGTTTATAATAAGCAGGAAACCAAGAGAATTCCAATCAATAATCCACAATAAAAGTTGTTGGCGACAGTGGGCATTTTCACGATTAGTTTCGCGATCAATTTAAATTGATAATTGTTAGGTATTAGTATGAATGAGTAATCTCATGCGCTCATCGATTTGTTAACAATTCGTTTGATTTCCTTTCGAATACTTTTTTTCCACAGACGCTAAACAAAGGCTATTTTAAATACATAAAGCACATACTGAGTGTCTTTGTCGATTTTATGCAGTATAACAATCACTATTAGTATGGGTAGAACTTATATTGTGTGACATTTCGAACAAACAAAGAATGTAGGTACTTACGACAAATATTAGATTAGTCGAAAATAAGTAACTGGCGTGCGGCGCGCAATGGGTATGCCAGGTTTCAAAATTCGTGAATTTAACAAGCTTTTATTTGCAGCGATTCAAGTAATTCATAGCCGAAAGAAAGAATATGAGCCGAGTGTGAGAACGAGCGCACGAAATTTTGTGAGTTTGATGCAGCAAAATAGTCTTTCCTTGAATGTTAGCCAAGAAGATTTTGTAACGCTGGAAAAGAAATTTCAGTCATTTGTTGTATTGATGAGGCAATGAATTGCTTTCATTAGCAGATGAACAGAAAGACGTCGAGACTTATTTTGTTCGATGGCGACGACAAATTCGGGAAATCCAGAAAAGAATAACCAAAGCTGAGAAAACAACATTAATAATTCTTCCAAGGAAGAAGAAATCAATTTTATTAAGGCAAATGTTATGTTGGCAATGGATTCTCCTTAGCACTAACGGGAAAATCGGCAAATTTCTTCCTCCTGCATCGAAAAATACTATTTCAGCAAGACAGAGTAAATTCTACCTATTTCCGGCGTTCACATAATGAATGTACTGGCACAACTTGTGCAATCTGGAGCCGATTACAATTCAAGCAGGGTAAACGCGTATCAATGAACTCGGTTTTTCAAAATTTATTTGATAGAGCGTATCACGTGATAATTAAAACTGTAATGAAACTTTTGTATTTTCATATAAACAATGGCAAACGCATAATCCGCAATTAATTCATTGAAAGAGTTAAATCTCAAGTTTCTTTTTTCAAATTGAAAGGAGAATGCTTGCCGAATTACGTGAAAGTATATTTTAATGGACCAGCTGAAGCACTGTCACGTGAATTTAATGATTAGCCTCATAAAATTTTAAACAATCTGATCTCTAATACTATTTGACGACAAAATAGTTGAGTAGCTTTGTAAATGCATCTGTTTTATCTTTACAAATCGAAACTGTTGACGTCCTAAACGAGGCTTCAGTGTACACATGTGATGAAACACGTTAATATGAGCAAGGGGTCCCTGTTTGATTTTCTGTTGTAATAAAAAATTGTTCATTCTGAAAAATGTTATCGACCACCAAGAGAAACTCAGTACCATTTGGAATTCATCAAACGTTGGGAAGGCCGCTGTTGTGCAATCTTGACTTAGCTTAACTTCATTATTTTTTTTATTTCTTGGTTTGTTCCGTTATGGATAAATAAGTTTTATCTATATGTTAACATATTCAAAAGAAAGTGTTGTATACCTATTCCTCCCACCGACTATGTATCCGCCATTGTTTGCTACCCCGCAACAGCCATAAGACTGCCGATGAAGGTCAAGATCTAATATGAAAGAGAAATATAAATAGTCAGTATACCAGTTTATCGAAATCGACTAGCATGATGACTGATGAAATAACTTACAAGACGATGTCGCACTTCTACTATGTCTTCGGGTAATAAAAAGATTGTAGCACCAATCTTACGAGCTATAGAAATAGCATATTTGGCATTCAGGGCCGCATCTTCCTCTGTTACAACGGTCGAAATAAAATTATTCATTAGACGTTTATATTACATGCGAGCAAGCGACAGCAATGGTATCGTACTCTCATTCCTTACCGGTAACCCCTCTTGTAACCAACGAATAGTCTACAATGCCCGGTTTAATACTGTCCAGCAAGTCAATAAAGAATAATGCATTTCTCAACGTTGGATCCTTGAAACTGTTAATCTTCGTTGACTTGCCACTCTTTTTCACAAAATCGTTGGCCCAGTTAATTAAGTCTTGGTCAGTAACCTCTTTTCCACCTTTCGATAAGCTTGTGAGTGTCTGAATAATGTTTAGTCTCATCATTTGCCAGACTAGTCCGAGGATGAGTGTTTTGGTTCCGTCACAAATATCGGCACCTTGCATGTTCACGAGCGTAAAGTGCAATTGTCGGCCAACAAGGATGGCATAATTTGTGTTTTCTACTTGCTTGAATCGGGAAAGAGGTTGTTTCGTGTTAACCTTCTTCCAATTAACTGTATTGGGTCGTATCTTATCGAAGGCTTGGAGCAAGATAATACCATCCTAATCACATTTCCATGAGTTAATTATAAACCAACGCTATTAAATCCAAACCATAATGCTACGGAAGCCCGTATTATACCTGCACATCTTCGTATAAATTGTTTACCGCCGGCGTCACATCCAAACTGTTGAGCCAAAGCGCAAACACTAATTTGGAGAAGGACAATTAGAAAACGAGGTATGGAAACCATTCACCGTTTATGCTTTATTCGTAGCAAATTTACCTCTTGCTTCCCTATCATCACTATCATCAAACTCTTCGATCTCGGCTTTCTCCGTTTCATCGAGTGGAGCCAGTCCAGGATAAGTGTTGAATAAGTGAGCGACAAAAGCAAGATTCAACTTGGGGTTGCCTGCAACGAGAGCCTTCGGCGTAAGATATTTCCTGCAATTTATCTTCTCGGCATTTTGAAGTACCTTATTAACAAGTTACATGCACATTAGATAATCTTATTCTTCAGGAAAAAAACAACTTGCGCAAGTGAAGAATATTCTGACGAAAGAATTGTTACCTGTTCGGCTCTTTCCAACAAATCTCTCGTATTTAGTGGACTTCTTGAACACACATCTGGTACCAGTTGGTTAAGTAGTATCGTGTAGTTTTCACCATCAGCTACATCTTTGCTAAAGTTTTTCACTCTACAATTTTTAACATATTAGTGATCCAGTAAATAGACACGTTAAGTAGTTAAATAAGGTTAAACCCAATGGATTTCAACATACGTGCGATGCCATTTAGCAGCCTTCAAGTGATAATTAAACCATCTCAACAGAATCTGATCAGGCGGTAATTTCAAAAACTGTTCTAGTGTCTCATCTTCTTCCAATAAACGATACAATTCTGGATGCAGTTTGATATCAATCTTATTCAACAGCCCTATCTTTATGATCTGCCATATAAGCCCAAGAATTAAATGTTCTCTTCCTTCGATTAGATCTGCTGAACCGATATTGACCACACTGCACCCAATACCCTTTGCGGAAAAAATCACAAGATTGTTATTTTCAGTCATCTTGAATTTGTTGAGTTTCTTTCCTTTTGATGCAAGATTTAATACACGCTCATCAATAGTGTCTGGTACTGAGTCATTGATTAATTTTGCAAGAATCAACCCATCTAGAAAAAAGGCATTAGTACAGTATTATTCAAATATTTCGTGTATAAATAAGCGTTTAGGATAAATTACCTTTGCATTCATCAAATAATTGCATAGTGTCTGTAGGAACAGGGAGCTTATCTGCCAAATTTGGGTCATGTGCGAGTGCTTGGTTTATGTGACGCGTAAATTCGGTTCGCTCATCTTCGTTGATTGTATGAGAGACGTTTGCACTGGAACCCTGAACAGTAATCTTGTGCTGGCTGACTTGGAAAGCACCCTTTAGACGCCCCTCGCGCACTTTGGCGATAAGCTGGTATAAAAGCAAGACATAATTAGTTAATATTTGTCAGTCATTGAGAGTGAGAAACAAAGTTGACAACAATGAGTATTAAAATAAAAAAAACCAATTATTAAAGTATGTTTCACTTTAGAAACCGTACCTCAACAAATTCTTCGACTTCAACTTTACCAGTTGAACTCAAGTCTACTTCTTTTAAAGCAGCCCTAATTTCATCATAAGATTGACTTTCACCCATATCCTGGAGAGCTTTCACAGCTTCTTTCTGTTCTATTGCACCGTTTCCATCTAAATCAATCTTGCTATTTGATTATAAAATCAAAAATCAAAAATATTACATGAAAGCGTATCAGCGACCGAACAAAAAATTACTACAGGTCGAGAACTTTTTTAAAGCGAAAAGAGAACGAATACTTACTTGAATGCTGCTATGAGATCGAAAATATCTTGTTGATTAAATTGAGGATATTTCTTTTGCAGTTTGAGCACATTCATCTTGTCTGGATAGTAGTTAACGATTTGGAGGCGGGTATATAAATTTAGGGGCCGAGATCTTGGCCCGCCAAGATGCCTATTGGCCAAGCCTATGCCCAAGGCGCCACAAAGTTTACCGTTATTATTTCAGCCACAACAATAGGCCAACAAAACGCCATTATTGCTTGGTCGTCAGAATGATTAAATTCTCTTTCGTTTCAGAGCCGCCCAGCTGTGAAGGTTTTATTGGCGTTATAGCATCGTACAACATTAACGGGCCAAGTTATCGAAAGTTCTTTATTTGTAATAAAAGTTATACAATTACTACGCATTATCATCGGCACACACTGCGTCATAAAACTAATAATTAACCGATGCGCTGTTCTTCTCCAAAATCATTTCAGTATACGAGTATGATGATCTTACGTCTGCGCTGTATTTCTAATCGACGAGTTTGACCAGCTTTCTTTCAATGTTTTTATTCACCAACGAAGATTATCTTGCTGCGGATGGCAAACGTTAAAGTACCGACTGATGAAAAAAAGGTTGACCACATTCGTATTTAACACAACTACCTGATTCAACAAGTTGAAGTTTAGGAAAATGTGTTCTCCGACTTCGCACATATGGAACAATATTGAGTGATAAAGTGAACTCTTCGTATCGATTATAAAACATATTTATATTACAAGGCAATCCAGAGAAGTTTATTTTAACTGTCTTTAGTAAACAGATTCCGCATTCACTGAATGATTATTGTCCGGCTTCACTTTATAAAAACGTTATGATATACCGTTTTACTCCATGTTTTTGATTTGCGGTTGGAATAATAAAGCAATTTATTGCTATCTTTGTCCAATGTCATTAACATTTATTAAACATTCACCACTGTATACTAATTCCTGTTTGTCTTTGCACATGAAGGAAGAAAAAGAAAATAAGAACCTCAGATTAGGCAAACGAGAAAGAAAAAACTGGAACAGAACAATCGATACCTGTCATCTTTTCTAAATTCTTGTTACATTCGTTGTTGATGTATCAAAGTCCCATTATTATCATTACTATTACTCATTTCGCCCATCCTTTGATCAAATATGATGAAACAATGATCTGCTTTGTGTAACCGAGTAATTTCCTAGCCCTTATCAGAAAATAAATATTGACACAATAAGCAAAATTTGGTCATCTCATGTAACACATTTTCAAAGATTGCCATTTACCCCGGACGAGTATTATTAAGTGTACAAAAATGGGTATGTGTATTTCATTATGTCTAATTCCTTGACTCCTGAAATCGTTGCGTATATGGATGAGGTTTGAACCAGGTAACCCAAATAAAGCTACTATTTACTGCTTATTGCATATACAACCCAGTCGTATTTTGATTACAAAGGATGCAGCTAATTAATTGTATCTGCGAAAACGTGTCATCAATGAAACGACAAATGTGATCATCTGATTAATGTTAGATTAGATTATGCGCTTGAATATTACACGTGATGAGCACAAATAATATGTTCCCGGAACAGTCGAGATTTGTGGGAATGACTTTGCCAAAAGGCAAAGAACCGCGACTATCAACCCCTTAGGATTTCTCCTCCTGCATAGTAAAGAACCAATCTGTCTTTCCAATCACCATTACTATAGGCCAACCGGTCCCTTATTCTTTACGCCGACAAGGATTAACATGCAAATCGGGAAGTTCAGGCCATAATATACTTCTGAGATCAGTTAGTTGCTTCAAGGATTCTCATTCAGCCAGCATAGTCGTTAATCCCACGGTAATAGTAGGGACAATATTAACGCGATTTGACTGTACGTACTGTAAAACGATCGACCGTTCAGGAGTTGTTTTTGAAAATCTCTGCGGTGTTAAAGAAGTCTCTTGTGGATATCGAATTGATAGATCATACAAGGTAAGCTAGGGACTTATTAATTCAGGTTACCAATATTAAACATTAGCATTTAAATGATAATTACTAAGAATATTAATTTGTATGAAGCCCAACAAATACGAATAATCGTAACCAGAGCACAATACAATATATATTAATATTAGTACAGGTTTAACGTCGTACCCCCCGATTTTAATATATCCTAATTGATTATAAAACCCAACCTTCAACGGATCACACGCAATTGTCTCGCACACTTGCTATCTTCTCATTCAATTATTTCATCTCTTCACGCTCAATTTGAACATGGTTCCTGTTCCGTCATCGGTAATGCGTGCTATTCCACATGAAACGCTCACGAAACTGTCAATTCAACGTCCCACTCGCGTTTCTCTCTCACATATATATACCGTCGGTCGCCATGTACTAGACTCCTCTTCTCAAAAAAAATATATTATACCCGCTCAGTTTCTCCACGCTGAGTTACCCATACGTCTTTCTCAAACACTCAAAATACTTCATTCGCCTTTGGTGCCTCAAGAATTCAGCATTCTACCTACTTTTAAGAAATTCACTCGACAATATTATGATTATATTAGCATCCTTATGGGCATACCCAAGCCAGAAAACGAAACAAGAGAAGAGGAATATACTAAAATTTTGAGACTGCTGAAAAAAGAACACAGGACTAACTTGGTAACGTTGAGACAAGCGTTCAGAGAAATAAGAGATTTGAATGGGATAGAAAAGATCAAGCACTTGGATACAGAAGAGATAAGAGAACTTTGGGATAGATTTTATGCCATTACTTTGGGAACCCGGTTACTTATAGCCCAACACTTAGCCTTACATGACGAAAAGAAAAATCTAGTCACGAGGATTTCACCAAAGGATGTGGCTGAGCGAGCGATTAGAGACACAAGAAACTATTGTGAGAAATTGTACAAGTAAGTCTAACAAACATGAAACTTACCGTTGCAATGAAGAATCAATCAACTGATAATATTAAACCGATCCACCATTTCTTCGTCGTCTAAACTATAGCCATCCAGTGCCTGAAATTCAATTATTTACAACAGATCCTACTGCTACAACAATTCATATCGAAGAGCATCTTCACAGTATTCTATGCGAACTGCTCAGGAACTCTATTAGTACTACGATACGACACCATTCTCCTGAATTCTCACATTATGACCCATTATCTTCTATACATTCTCAATCTCGCGGGTCACTCTTTTCTTCCTTACTCGCTTCATCTTCTCCAACCCAATCATCAAAGCCAAACCCTAGTCTTCCGCCAATATCCATATTGATAGCCCAGGGAGCACAGGATATAACAATAAAAATATCGGATCACGGAGGTGGCATGCCAATGTCCGTTGTGGATGATGCTTGGAGTTACTTCGTGTATGATGATGAAAGCCAGTCGGAGGCAGATGTAGAGCGTTCAGAGAGACCGTTTGATTGCGGTGTTGGCGCTAGTTTACCGTTTGCTAGGGTTACTGCACGATGTAAGTGTTTCAAGCTGATAGATGAGGGTAAATGCATGGGATCTTTGCTAACGGTTTCGTCGACTTTTCCTTATTTGTTAGATTTTGGTGGTGATCTTTCGTTTGTGTCAATGGAGGGTCACGGAACAGACACGTTCCTCTCCTTATATCGTGATGATACTTGCTTGGAAGCGTTTCCCGAATCGCATGCCTCTTTGGACGATTCGTTATTGCTTCTGGAAGCTGCATAGAAGTTAGATACTCTTATCTGAATAATTATTTTGTTAAATTTATTATCTTCTCTTTGTACATTTTTTCCTCCCCTCTGTAATAAGGGAAACTTTCAATGCTTTGTGGCATGAGACGGATTAGTATGAAAACCCTTATACGTAACATGCTATGTTTTTTTTTAGATATGGCCATTACTGAGACAGACTATTCCATCATATATGAAAATTATAACAGCAATATGAATGGATTAGGAAATATCTGCAAGAAGTGTT